TGGTTAATATTTTGGAAGAATTTTGATACTTTGAATTATATTTCCAATATAGGATTTTCAATTCTCTCTGGAGCAAAACATAATCAAATGGACGAATTTTGGAGTAATTCCAGTTGGAGGACGTACGTGAGTCACTTAGCTTGATCGTATCAAAATATCAGACTTTTTCCACCAAGCGATGATTTCCTGGCGAATAAATGAAGGAGCAGTGCGCTATGCTGGAATAGTGACGTTTTGGGCTTTTATTGCGTTTTTGGAGCCCAAGATGACCTCGGATGGGTTCGTGGCCTTCTGGAGAAGTGTTCAGAATATTTTATCTTTAAAACGAGCTAACTTGGGCCAGATTTGGGGGAGATTTGAGACTAAAACGTGGCTGGACAGATTATGGGCAGATTCTCCTAATCCAATTTGGACTTTATTTCCTAGTCTTACTTTACTTTAACTTAGTTTTCTTGTGGGGATTGGGTAGCTAGGTTTTAGGAGGTATTTAAGCTCCTTTTCACAGAACTTTGGGGATCTCCTTTTAGAACTTCTTTTTGGCTTTGGGAGCAATTGCTTGGGTTTTGGATTTTCGCTACTTTCAGGTGTTTTCATTCTTACTCATTCGAATGATATTTTCTTGGATTTCAATTATGATTATGTGTAACTAATTCCTTTTGCTAGGTCGAGGCCGTAAGCCTAGCATGAATATGTAGTTTTATTAATTTGCTTATGAATGGTTGCATGTTTGCTTTGAATTATTAATCACTGTGTTTAAAACTATCTATCTATTTTAATGACTGATCACCATTAGGATATGTAGACAAGTAATTTGATGCAATTTCTGTTGGAACATCACCCTGAAATTGAGGAGGGCTTCTTGTGATTAGTAATTGTAAGTTCACTTAAGGCGAACATCACGCTCTTAAGGGTTGCATGGTTTTTCAAAGGGTTTTCACAAAACTTAATGAGTCTTGCATGTTTATATTTGATCTGAACATCACAGACGGATTGCATGTTAGATATACGTTTTCGCTTGAACATCACAAGGAAAATATGTATTAGGAAAACCTAACCTTCAAAGCATATATGTGGAAATTCATAAGTAATTGATAGAATTGCATAGGATTGCGACGGTGTTGGCTAAACCCTAGTTTTCTCTAAATTGTTAGTCTTTAAAAAGAAATCGTTTTTCTTCTTTGCTGTTTTTATTTCCCAACTTTCAGATTTCTTTTACTGTTAGTTTAATCCTTTCAAATTCATAAACTTCAAATCTTTGATAAAATCTATTTTAGTTATTAATTAAGAGTTAGTTTAATTACAGATTAGTCAAACAATCTTTGGGGACAACGACCTTGCATGAGCATTTATACTACAATTACCTTGTATTCTTGCAAGTATTTTCAGTGATTTTAACCCTGTTTGCGCACGTACTAAAAATTCCTATCATGCAGCTGCAGTAATAAGAAATGGTAACAAATGTACAATTAATTTGAGGGAGAGGGAGAGGGAGAGGGGAGAGAACAGAGGGAAAAGACGGTAGAGAAGAAGACAGAAGGGGAGGGCTGGCGACATGTTTTTTTATATTTAAATTTAAATTCAAGTTTTAGTTTTCTTTTTCTTTTTCTAGAAAAAATTAATTTAATTTTTAAATATATTAAATCTTTTATTAAAGCTACGTGGCACTATATTATTAGATGTGTAGCCCCATATATATGCCACATCAGCATTTTAACAGAAAATTTGACGAAAACTGACGACAGAGACCATTTTGATGTGTGAAGGATAACCTTAAGGACACATATAAAAAAAAAAAAAAAAAAAAAAAAAAAAAAAACTTTAAATTTTTTTTTTTTTAAAGGAGAACGATAATTTCACAAACCTCAAGACCATTTGTGATATAAAAAAAATTGTTCTAACATATATGATCACTATGTTTTACGATTCACAGAGACTAAGATACATAGCCCCTCCTTTGAAAACACTTGCAGCGCTGCTTTGGGGGAGGAGGCCTTTGTTCCTCCTCCCCTCTTCTCTCCTCCTTCCCACTTCCTCCTTCCTACTTCTTCCTTCTCCTATTTTCTCTCTCTCTCTCTCTCTCTCTCTCTCTCTCTCTCCTTTGTGAGAGTCTTCTCTCTCATCTGTGAGAGTTTATGTTACTTTTCTGTTTGCTTGTTTTTGCTCTTTATCTCTCTGAATCTCTTATCCAACTCATTCTCATCCCTCTGATCTCCCTCATCTCTGACTCTTTGTGTCTCCAAACACCCCATCTATCTATTACATCTCCCCCATGTTCTCCTCTTCCCATTTCCTTATGTTTGCCTTTCTCTACTTTTTTCTTTTCAAACTCACCTTAAATTTCCCTAATTATGCCCAAATTTGGAAAAACCCATATATGCACTTTCACTCTCCTCTTTCTTCCCCACCCATAAATGTTGTTCTTCAATCTACACTTCTTACCTCTACATCCCTTGCCCCTGATATGCAACGGCGGCGCGGCAAGGGGAAAGTGGCGGCTGTAACTTCCCATATTAGGGTTCTTCCTTTGTGTTTGTATTGGGCTAGATGTTTGTTTTAAAGTTTTCTTTTATATGGTGTTGAGGCCCAAAATATCCAGGGTTGGGCCCAAATAAATTCTCGGCCCAATGCAATGCCTTATTAAGAAAAGATCCGATTCAGAGCACGCGAAATTTCGTCATTCACTCTCGCATGAGTCATGATCCACGTGTATGCTCCTTTTTCTCACACCCAAGTCATAACCCTCCATGTTTTCTTTTAGCCAGCGTTGTATGCTTGCAGCCAGCTTATTTTGTGACTGCTAGTTACTTCAAGCGTCCAGAAGCCATAAATAAGGGGTCTCCCACGGCATTTAGACCATCAAATTAAACCTTACCAGGCCAGTGACGTGCATGCCTCATATCCACAGAAGCAAAAAGTGGCGAAGTTTAAAAGATTGCAACAGTTAATAATTCTCAGTCATAAGTTAGCTACCAGTCAAACTATTAAATATATTTCTATTTACAATAACACCCCCCCTGAGGTTTCTTGTGTTTTCACAAAACTCCCCTCAGGTCTCAAACATCACACAAACACCCCCTGAGATTTAAGTTTGTTTTCACAAATCCCTATTTCGTTGATTGTTTGTCCAAAAATTGATGATTTCATTGAAAAAAAACTTATGCAAATGAGAAAATTAACCTCAATAAAGTATCTGCAATCCAATCACAAAGGTCAACTTTGTCATTTGGAGAATTTTTTTGTATAAAATCCATCAATCTTTGGTTGAAAAATTAATGAAAATGAATTTTGTGAAAACAATTTAAAACCTCAGGGGGGTGTTCGTGTAATTTCTTAAACCTCAAGGAATTTTGTGAAAAAGCCAAAAACTTTAGGGAATGTTAGTGTAAATAACTCACGCACACACGCACACACTCACACTCACACACACACACACACACACACACACACACACACACTCACACACACACACACACACACACATATATATATATATATAGAGCTTCAATTGAGGGACACCTCTTGTAGGGCCCACTTCGTTTTCACTAATCCGCACTGTCTACTTTGTAGATATTCATTCAAATATCATCTCTACAAAAAAATCACTTGAATCCGATATGATTTGACCACTCAATTGAATTATTGAAATTTTAATACTTTCTTAAAGCACCGTGTTCATTGATTTTGTAGGACACAATTGGATATTGAAACGGTTTCCAATTTGTCTAATTTTTTGCAAGGATGATCTATTAATATAGACTTAAAAAATAGATGGTTTCGATCGTTGAAAAAAATATTTTTTGAGGACCCTAAAAGGCAGTGGCGGACCTACAAAGTCTAGGTTTTCATAGCAATACGATATATATTATAACACATAATCTATTTCAAGAATTTTTTAACATATAATTTTGGGCCAAAATCTAAAGCTATAATAAGGGAGATATATATATGTATTACGAACAAAAATAAAAGTTATATGTAGAAAGCTGCAATTTCCACATGAGCAGAAAAGTCAGTTTTCCACCGCATAAATTGTCTACTAGTCAAAACACATTGTAAGAACATGAATGCAGCATCGTCTAACTTGTTACTACACACAAATCTTTACCCACCTGGAATCCTGCTTTTGATTTTTTGTCTGCATGCTCCCAACAGGCTGCCTTACTTTTGAAGTGTTAGTTTGTAATTCTCTGTGTCTGGTTTATGAAAATGAAAACAAAGATTCGCGTGACAATTACCAAACCACTAAACTAAAACACCTAACATTGTTTCCTGAAATTATTGTAATACTTACTTGAGCTAAAGTTGGTGGAGTGTTAACCAGAGTCATAAATATTGGGAGAGGGGGGATTCGAAGTAAGGACTTGTGTATGAGTAAATATTCTTAACCACTTAGTAAATATAATATTGGACGATATATGATTAAGTTGAAAGAGGAAAATAATAATTTGCAGGAAGTGAAAAGATAATATTCAAAAAGCTCAAACAAGATATGTCCTTATTCAAAAAGCTCAAACACGACCGATTGATTTGTAGTTTAGATGGGACATTGGTGGAAACTACACTAGCAAACATAGAATTTAAGCCCATCAAGAACAAGAGGAAGCTACATAATTTAATTGGAGAGATAGAGGGATAGCGTTTGGATCGATGTGCAATTAGGTGGAAATCTGATTATTAATGTTAATTTCTTTTGTTTTGCATGGTAATTATATTGTTTAACACTTGAGGTTAAAGGTTCAGAAAAGCTACTCTTTCTGTTGTTTTTGGATCAAATAGAAAAATTTCATTTCATAACTAATACTAAACAAACAATAAAAGTTTACAGACGAACGGAGGGCGTTAATGTGGCCTCATTAAAATCTTGCAATCAAAAACCCCCAATGGAGGAAAATCCAATGAAGAAAAAGAGTACCACTGCACCTCAATAATGCAAACAAAATATACACCATAGTTCTATCCTTATCTAACAGAATGCTTTGCCATGGGGGAGCACGGTCTGTCTAGAAAAGTCGAGATCTCACTCTCAATCCATGCTGGGCTAGGCCATGTGCCACCCCATTGCCTTTTCGATGTTGATAAAACACTCCACCCACCTCTCGTTCAACCATTAACAGACGAACATCCTCCACCACATTGCCAATATTACTCCACCAATCCAAACCATCTTTGAGAATAGAAACAACTTCTTGAGAATAAAGACCAATGGTAAACAGAGTAAAACCCATGTACCCATCATCAATAAACCTTCTCGGACAACTGCCAACTCAGTGCCCAAAACATCTAGACCAGGTGGACTGCCAGAAGCAAACCCATAGATAAAGTTTCCGTCATGATCACGACAGCATCCCCCCAGACCCCGACCACTTTGCTCACGACCCACAGCCCCATCACTGTTACGAATAAAAGTATTTACCTGTGGTTTCAACCAATGGACCCATTGAGGTACGAAGGGGAGCTTGGACCCCTCCTCACAAGATTTGAACACCGCCAACATCTCCATCATGTTTTCCACCATATTATCCAACCGTGTAATCTGTTTTCCATGCAAAGAGTCGTTACGTAGTTTCCACACATTCCACACACAACAAGCAAAGCGCTCTATGTCAGCTTTCAACAACATTGAAGCCACAGCCTCAAAAATATCAGCAAAAGTGCCAATTGATTCCAAAATTTTAGAATCCTAAGTGCTTCTTTTAAAGATTCATTTCTGTTGTAACGAAACAAACACAAGTTTGTATGTCACAGATCCTTTCTTTGATGTCAAATAGATATTTGTTTTATTTGAGGTTTTGGGTCCCAAAACCTCTGGAGGATTCAAAATTTACACTCACACTCTCTAAAGGTTTCAAATTGATTTCACCAAACTCCATATGTTAATTTTTTATCTAACAATTGGTGTTGTCATAAAAACAAAATTCTTCAAATGACAAAGTTAATTAAGAGAATATATTGTGACATATTCATGAGGTTTAATTGTTTAGAAGTATTCTTCATGAAATGATAAAATTTCAACATAAAATTAAAGGAAGGTTAAGTGAAAAGAATTTGTAACCTGTGCTATGTGATTGTAATAACTGTAGCAGAAAACTAACAAAAAAAAAAAAAAAAAAAAAAAAAAAATATTTACACTAACACCCCCTTAGGTTTTTGGGTTTTCACAAATCTACCTCATGTCTCAAAAATTACACAAACACCCCTTGAGGTTTCAGTGTGTTTTCACAAAACCCCTTTTTCGTTGATTGTTCGTCCAAAACTTGATAATTTCAATGAAAAAAACTTATACAAATAAAAATTAACCTCAATTAATGTATATGCAATCTTATCTCAAAGACCAACTTTGTCATTTGAAGAATTTTTTTTTATAAAATCATCAATCTTAATTGGATGAAAAATCAAACGAAAACAAACTGGAGTGTTCGTGTAATTTGAAAAATTTCAGGAAATTTTGTGAGAAACCCAAAAATCTCAGGAGATGTTAGTGTAAATAACTATTTTAAAAAATTAAAAAAAGAAGCTTTTTACAACTGCCAACCCTCCCACATCCATTACAAAGCGCTATCAGTGAGTGAGACAGATGCCTTACTGGAAGAAACCAAACAACTTGACGTTACAATGTATCTTATATGAGAAAACGAATCAAGCACAAATCGATCTTGTAACTGCCTAGGTGATGTACAATATCATTGTCTGGAAAAGTGGAATTCAGCAGTAATACTAATAATTATCTTTATTCAATCGTTTTCAAAATCGATCTTGTATACAAAAAAAGCAAGGGGCCAAGATTTCATATTCAAAAAGAATGGGACCACTATTGAGTTCATTTAAGCACTAGAAGTAAGTTTTGAGTACTATTTGCAAATTTTGGGACCACGATTTGCTGGATTAGTACGGTTATCATCAAATGATGATATGAAATTGAGGGATTGGATTTCCATGATCCGAGTAGGGTATTTTCTTAGATATTTCTTTAATGATTATTCATACAAAAGATCACTTTTAAATCCGAAATTATTTGACCATCAATTAAACAATTGTCATTTTATGGTTTTTTTCAAGCACCGTATGCATTTATTTAGAGTGCTGCTAAACGAACCCTAAAATTAACTAAGTGCACTCTATTACCAAACTGTTTATTGAATTACTAATTTACCCTAATAAAAAATGACCAAAAAGGATATTTTGAATTGTGAAACACCGTCGTCATCTCCTCCACTGGACATAGCAATGTCTCATTCATAAAATTGTCTCCTCCATCGTCACACTAACACCGTCGTCATACCATCCGCTTCTCCACTGTTACAGCAACCTCGTCGTTGTACTATTATACTGGCGTCGTGGTCGTCTAGTATTGGTAAATCTCATTTTGATTTTGTTATCAAATGCCTTATACTATCTTGATTTGTTCTTCATGGGCCAAATGTTTTGTAACCTTCCTCTGAAAATTGGTTTTAATTTGTGTTTTAAAGGGAGCAGTTTCTGGGTTGTTTAACATTGATGATTTTAAGAGATCCATGACCATGTGGGTATGCTACAGACTTGCCACAAACATCTGAAATGCCTTCATAGCTTTTCGGGTTCAGATCCAAATAATATGTTGAGGCCCATGAAAATTCCTTCATATAACTTATGAAACCAAATACTAAGTTCAATGTTTGGGTCTGTAGTTCAATTTAATACATTTATAAATCTGAAAAGATGGCATGAATTCATGTAAAAGAAGAGCCTAGTTTAGGATTGGTATTAGGGTGTACCAAGTGTATTTTTGGTAGTAAAATAGGGTGTATTTAGTTAACTTTATATTTTAATTAAAATATTAGAGTGTACTTAGATTATAAGGTGTACTCAGTTAATTTTAGAGTTTGTTTAGCAACACTCTTATTTTATTGGTGACAACTAGATGTCTTAATGGTTTTCAATTTGTCTAATTATTTTGCAGGAATATTCTATGAATGAAGACTTGAAAATAGACGACTCGGATTATTGAAATAATATTCGTGACAACCCCCAATGGTGCCCTCAAATAAAATTATATAAATTTATAAATAAACCCAATCCTAGACATGTATTTATAAAAAAACCCCAAGCACTATTTAAACATAGAAACACACCGAAAATCAACAATTGTATATTTTTTGGGTGTGTTTATAAATGGGTTTTGAGTGTGTGTAATGATGGGTTTTGGGTGTGTTTATAAAGTGTTTTGGGTGTTGGGTTTTTTTTATAATTTCAGGCCCCTTTTTTGGGTGTTTTAGTGAAACTCCCATAAAATTATTTAAACATAGTGATGGTGGAAATAAAATTCTTGCTGGTCTGCTTTATCGATACTATTAGCAAACTCTCTTTCAATGGGGAGGATCATGCAATCAACAAGGAATTCATCAGCTATGGTGCTCTGATTCTTAATAATTCTCATACATGAAAAAGCTCATTCCGTTGTTGCTGTAGAAGAAGTTAGAGTTAACACCAACTCTATCAACCTGTCAAACAAATAGTAGTTTTGTACCAAAGTTGTTTCCTTCAGTTGTTGACATAACTGAGAAAGAGTGGTGATTTCCTTAAAGCATGGAAGATGATGTATATCATTTTGAAAATACGTCAACTTGATCTATAAAGCTTTCAACTTACTTGGAAGGAAATGACTAGGATAGAATTTCTCCGCAAGTTTACATAGATACTCAATATTGAAAGACTTGAAGGAATCACGAGGATCCAATGCTGAGCTAAGAATAAGAAGTTCAACTGTTTGCTGTGGAAATCTACCATTTAACTCCCTCAATGGGAGACTCGGGAAGATTTTGCTCATCACAAATGGGAGACATTGTACTAGATGATGACTCATCATTCTTTTAAAGTGCTACTAGCATAAAAAGTAGCGTCAAAACCGTTGGTAAATTTAATATAAAACTGTTGAAACTATGGATAATGACTAAAATGGACATGATGTTGAATGTATTATGTGCTAACCATGTGGTGATGGTGGAGGTGGTGGTGATGATAGCGGTGGTGGTAGAGGTGGTGGTGGTGATGGTGGTAGCAATGGACGCAAAGGTGGTGGTGATAGCAGTGGAGGTGAAGGTAGTGGTGGTGGTGGGTGGTGGGTGTTGGTGGAGGTGGTGGTGATGAAGGTGGAGGTGATAGCAAAGCAAAAAAAAACAAAAAAATCATTAAAGGCTCTTATCTGCTTCTATGAAAGCACCTAAAGGCTGCTGTTAGGAGGTCATTGCTTTTAAAATAATGAGGATATTTTATTTTTACAAAACACCTTAAACTGGTTAACTTTAGGTAAAGCTTATTTTTGACAAAAAAATCATTACTAAATAGGGTCTAAATTTTGGGGAAAAAAGCATTACTAAATGGGCCCTGTAGTCATTGTTGTACAATAATGACGATGTGGATGTTGAGCTATGAAGCCTAATTAATAGATCTACTTCATCCTCTATAAAGTCTCCTCTCTCAATATTTGGCTTCAAGTAGTTCAAACTGTTAATGTATGCATTTTGAGTTTTTCTTTTGGCTTCCCTTGACAATTTTGTAATAGGATTTTATTGTTTTTATCAAGCTCAAGTTTAGATTAAGAATAGCTTCTCTAGGTGTTCTTAACTAACAACTATCCTATGGAGGTTCAAGCAAATTGACAAAGGTAATTGTGCATTGCATCACATTTCATTAAATTGATTTCATAAAATGATGACTAGTCATCTGTTTCTCGTATGACTAGTCATCCTTGTTCTGTAGGATTTCCAGTTGGATAACCAACTATTTTGTCCTATTCTCCTTTCTCTCTTTGCTGCCATGTGTTGATTCTGACCTAGGGAATTTTTGGGGTTAAAGGTCAAAGGATTCCTCATTTGGCAGCCGTCACTTTGGGGGACAAGTTTTGGAAAGTTTCATAACAAACTTTCTCTTCTTCTTCCTCAAGAGTAACCTTCATATTTTTCATCTTTGAGTTTTCCAAATTGTTTCTTTTTGAAAACTGTATTTGAAATATGAAAACTTCATCTTGCTAGATCAAACACTCTATCATATATATCTAGGTCATATTCAAGATTGATTTCTTCAAAAGTATGGTTTCTTGAAGAAATTGGTCATTTTCTCCATGAATTCAAATTTCTTTTCTGTCTGAGTTAGAGCTTGCAAGCTAGTGCCATGGGATGAATGAGCTGGAGAAGGAGCTATCATTGCCATGAAGAATTGAGCTTCAAGCTTTGCTAAGTTGGAGAAGAAGATTGCACAAAGGAGGTATAGCTCATCTTCCTAAATAGACCTAGGAATTTCTTGAGCTTGCTAGTGTTCTTTGTAAGAATCTTTTTACTTAGTGGATTGCCTAGTCGGTTGATGACCCCCAGTTTTTCCCAATGGTGGGTTTCTGGGTGAACAATTTATAGTTTCCATATCTGTAAATTTTCTGGGTTTGTGTTCTTGATAGTTGACTAGTCATCTAGGTTTGTGTTCTTGCGATTGACTAGTAATCTTTTTCTGTTGTTTGGTGTTTGCTTGATTATGCTATCTTCGCACACTTTCACCATATTGTTGCTAGCACAGGGGATGCCCAGATTGACGGGTCCTTCTAAGTGCCTAGGTTGTCACTAGTAATTCTCTAGGCTTGCAGGTACATCTTGATATGCTCTGTGTATATTATTGTTTTGTATAATTCATATATGACAATTGACTAGTCATAATAGTATTTGGTCAAGGTCTAGAGTGTGTGAAGTTTGTTGCCTTCTTGGTTGAATATCTTTTAAATTTACCCCTCGTCACCTAAGTACCAATTTCACAAACACTTTTAGTCTACAACTCTTCCTGCATCTTTTTAATCCTGCACATGCATACTGCATAATTGTATAACATCTTTCTACAGCATGCACATCCACATAATTAAACCTAATGCAGGGGCTTCACTATTTAATTAAACTGTAGCTATATATATATAGACATATATTATATATACACTTTTCTCCTATGCGGACGTCCGTAAGTTATTACCGTGTGGACATCATTGTAAACATGCGAAAAATTAAAGACAAGTAGTAGAAAATACATGGCGTTCACACAACAATAACATTCGGGCATCCACATAGGAGAATGTGTTTTGACAAGAGTTTATAGTTATTGTTGCGTGTTATATATAGAATAATTCTATTGCATTGCAACTGTAAAATGAAAAACTTCACAATGTTCTGTTTAATTTGGGTATATCAATGACATATGTGTTTAAAACAAAAAATGATATGCACGTTTAGTTGTTCATAACTCCTGGAAGCCGAAAAAAATTAATTTATATAAATTAATTTAACTGGAATTAATGGGGAGGAGTTCTAACGAGATTCGTACTTAGTGTAACAAGTGGACAAATTTCATAATCAAGAAAATCCCATTTATCAAGATTGATTGCCTATGATATTTTGTTTGCTTTTTATTTATGTGTTTTTGAATATAAATGATAGTCTAAACTATAAGAGGGAGGAAGTTTCACATATTCACATTATCAAAGTGTCATGAGAGTTCGAACTTGAGACCACTGATTGTCTATTGTTGTTATGCATAATAAATCGCAAAAGTAAAGTTTGGAGACCTAAACATACATGTGACTTTTATTCAGCTCATCACTGTACTTTATTTCTCATAGTATCTGTCTCGTGTGACTTTTCTACGCATGCCCACAGTAATGTTGATATCCTCACTGTATAGTCATATAAAAGAATATTAAATTAACATCAACAAAAGGAAAACAGTAGTACACAAGCTAGATGTTTTCAACAACAAAAAAAAGGTACACAAGCTAGATGATATATACAAATCGCCAAAATCAACAAACATAAAAAAAAAAAAAAAAAAAAAAAAAAAGGAAAAGGAAAAAAAAGCTATGCCCAACATTACAAAGACTTAGGCCCATTTGGGATGCTTAACTTTAAAGTTAAGCAGTTTAAGGTATTTGGTAAAAATAAATATCTTATTTATTTTAAAAGTAATGGTATTTTGACAGCAGCTTTTAAAAGCAACCTCGAGGTTACTTTTTAAAGCTGCTTTTAATTGAAGCAGCGCGCTCCCTTTAATGATTCCAAAGGTCCATTAAAAGAGAAATTACTTCTACCTAGTCCTTCTGAAATATTGGTACACTGTCTTTTCGATTGTGGCATATCATGAACCCAAAAACTTGTGAACCCTTCTTCCTCTAACGCGAGATCATAACATGTAGCTCTTTCAAAAGCATCCTCGTCATCTAAAAAGGTCTCCCACCAATCATTTCCATTCTTTGTTGATGGTGATGTTTGTGACGGCGTACTAAAATTCTCGACCGTTTGAATATGGTCCAAAATTGGTTCTTTACTGCTCAAACAATTTGAACTCTTGATGAAGCTTCGGGGTTGAGGTCTTATTACGATGGTCTTTATTGTTTCTTGGGGTTTATCTTTCACCTTTTTCAGGCGAGAATCCGTCCGCAGTCTAGTGTTCCAATAATTTTTCACGTCATTCGCTGTCCTTCCTGGAAGCCTTCCAGCAATCAATGACCACCTTCGACGGATAGCATGAGAAAATAAATCAATAGATACATTTGTGCTATGATACACACACAAAAAGTAGAAAATAAATCAAACCCTGCCGTTAACTTCCGTCAAATTTTCTATTAAAAAGATTGATGTGGCATATATGTGGGCTACACATCAATAATATATAGCCACGTGGTTTCAAATAAATATTAATATATTTAATAAAAGATAAGATTAAAACTTTTAAAAAAACAATTTAAAAAAACTCTCTCTTGCCCTCTTACTTCGAACCTGTCGCCCCACCGTGGCACCCCACCTCCCTCCACCCCCCCTCTCTCTCTCTCTCTCATTAGATTTGAGGGTGATGGTCAGGCAAGCAAAGAACCGGGTCGGGATTTAAATCTTTTATTAAAGCTATGTGGCACTATATTATTAGATGTGTCGCCCCACATATATGCCACATCGGCATTTTAACAGAAAATTTGACGGAAATTGACGACATAGACCATTTTGATGTGTAGAGGATAACCTTAAGGACAATTAGTATCACAAAAAAAAACATTAAAGACGAAAGACTATAATTTCACAAACCTGAGGACTATTTGTGATAAAAAAACCTTCTGTAAATGTTTTAACATATATGATCACTATGTTTTACGATTCATAGAGACTAAGATACATCATGCATGGCTACATGCCCCTTCTAGTGCTTTTTTGCGGTTGTGCATGCGTACTGAGATAAACAACAGAAGATATAATATAGAAAACAAAGCACGGGATGCATGTCGGTGGGGATTTTAGTTGTTTTTTTTTTTTTTTTTTTTTTTTTTTTTTTTTTTTTTAATGTGATGAAAGAACCATGTGGTATAAGGAAAGAGACATTTATTGGTACCTGTTTCCTAAAAGCTTGTGAAGCCTAATTATTAGATCTACTTCATCCTCTGCAAACTCTCCTCTCTTGATATTTGGCTTCAAATAGTTCAACCACCTTAGTCTACAGCTCTTCCTGCACCTGTACAACCCTGCATCCATGCATAATGCAAAAATTCCCGATGTGGGATAAGTGTCTTAGCACCCCTCGACTCACGAGTGAGATAATTTGAACTAAACACGTAGACAACATAAATAGTGAGTAATATGGGAGCACCAGAGTGACTATTGGGCCTAGCTGGTGAAAGACAAAATTAAAAGGAACTAATTGGCAATAAGTGGAGAAGTTTAAGGCTTCACTGTCTATTAATTAAGCTCCAGCTATTTATTAACCATCTATATCGTATATCTCTCTGAGTTATATTTACATTAATACCTGCTTTGTAAGGAACTTGGTGCCACTTTCCTTCTCCATGATTCTCAATGCACTGCCTCAAAAGATCATCTTCCTCTCTAGTCCAGCTCCTTTTCTCACATCCAAGTTATAGCCCTCCATCTTCTTGTTGGCCAGCGTTGTATGCTAGCAGCGAGTTTATCTTGTGCCTGCTAGTTACTTCAAAGCCTCCAGAAGCCACCTAGCATTATAAATAAAAGGTCTCTGACGGTATGAAGACGATCAGATTAAGGCTACAAGGCCTGTGACGTGCAACGTCTCGTGTCCACAGAAGTAAAAAGGTTTAAGAGGTTGCTAGTACGGTTCTCCGTCAGAAATAGCTACCAGTCACTATTAAAATATGTTTTCATGTAGGGCTCGAAAACAGTAATAGTTAGCTAAGAGTTTGTTAGTGTCGGCACGTGTGGTTCACATGTCACAGCTGTAATTAGTCAGTTTGTTAAGCATTAGTTATAGGCTAAACATCTGATATAAACACTCTCTGTAATTGTTCTTCCTTCAGCCTCAATTCTTCTTCCTTGTACTGTTAACAGGGCTTACCAAAAGAAAATGTTATATATATAGGGGGATTCTCCATTACAGAGTACGAATATACGGATTAGTTACGAAGTTTTGGTTTTCACCGCTTAATTGTTTCTATGGTCCAGATTTAAAACAAATTTTAATTACAACTCTTGCACATCGTCTCTCTCTCTTACCGACCCACTGGACCATCCTCCTCTCTCTCTCTCTCTCTCTCTCTCTCTATCTGGGCGACCCAGAAACCCCTTCTCTGAACTACATCCTCTCACACTCCCTCCCTTACCCACACCGCTAGAGCCCTCCTCCACAAACACCATATTTAAATTTGTTCAATATCTATAGTTGTTATGTTACAAAGAAGTCCATAATCAACATCCAAAATACCAAATGTTAATCCAACAATGACGGTAAAAAACCACCTTCACCTGGCTTCTTTTTTTAATATTTTTAATACAAGAATCTGACTGTTAAAAACAAACATGATTTCAAACTCAGCGAATCTCCGATTTTGTCTGGGTTCGAAGCTCCTCACTATCCTCACCACCATCTCTCTATTCCTCTCTGTTCTCACCAGCACCTCTTTGTGTTTGAAATCTTCTCTGTGGGAGGATAAGAGAATCCACAATGGGCTTCCTAAACTACCTCCTTAGCTAAAATTTAGGGAGGAATTGAAAAAACACACCTCCAATCATGCTCCCTACTCAACTTCTAAAATAGAGAGATCTCTAGGAGCTCTTAAATCTGAGGAGAGAGAAAGGGCTCCTAGTGACTTCCTAAAATTAAATGCTACTATATTTTATTATTATTTTAAACATTTATTTAATTATGTCTTTAATTTTATCTTTTTTTCCTGCATTTTATATTTTTAATTGCCTTTCCACGTTGCAAAACACAAGCATATATTTTTAACAATTTTATCATTTCTTTTCGTGGTAGTATTTTGCAACACACTTTTGATCTTTTTGCTGTAGGTGTTTTGCAACACACAAGCAAAATTATTTTTTTTCAATTCTTTTCACTGTAGACATTTTGTAGCACACAAACACCCTTTTTTTTTCTTTTTTTCTTTTTTTCTTTTTTTTTCTTTTTAAAATATAGTTCTTTTCCCTGTAGGTATTTTGCAAAACACAAAAACCATAGAATATCAAAATTGAATTGCACAACCAAAGACCAACAACTCTTGAATTGAATACATTTTATCGTTGGCATTATTTGCTACAAAACCCAAAATGGAAATTGAATTGGAGTTCATAAAAAAATAGAATTTTAATTGAAAGCTTTTGCACAACGAAAGACCAACAACTCTTGGAATTCTTTTTACTGTTAGAATTAAGCTATTTATATTGGATGTTCATTCGCTTGCTAGAGTGTTTTTTGTTAGGTCTCTTTTCTACGGTTAGATGGATTCTCAAAGTGGTGATTTCTTCAATCTTTTGGGTGGAGATTTGAATCCTAACAATCAGTATTTGAATGATGGCAATGATAATCAACATTCACTGGCTGGCATGGCCAATCAATCTATAAAAGAAGAGTTGCAAACTCAATCAGCCAACAAAAAAAGAATTAAATTTGAAAAGAAATAAAGTATTTATGACAAAAAGAAGTAAAGCATTTATGGCTCTCCAAATTAGGGAGAATGGTTAGAGTTGAAATTTTATAGAGAGCTCCTAAAATAGTTTTTTTGTGTTTTTATCTAAATTTTAGCTAAGAAACAGGGAGACTGATTGTGGATGCTCTAAGGTTAATAAGAGACAAAAAAAAAAAAAAAAAAAAAAAGAAGAAAAATTCAACCGAAGGCGAGTTGACGTCATGCCTGACGTCAGCGCACGGGTTTAAATTTTTTTACCATTGACGCGTGCATTTCACACTCCAACGGTAAAATAAATAAAAAATTTAAATTCCGGGCATTGAAGTCAAGCCCTTCGTTTCCGCCAACGGCTAGTAGCCACGTGGCGGCCTCTGGGAGCTCCGATTAGTTTTTATCCTCCAATCTAATGGTTGCCCTTTTTTTGTCTTTTTTTTTGGCAATAAAATTATGAAAAATATTTTAAAAAAAATACCCAAATATTCAAGAATTTTTTTCTATAAATACCTACCAATACTCTTCGTTTTCAACACCAAATCCTCATACATTTTCTTCTCCTTCTACTATTATTCACTTTCTACTCAACATTTTATTCACTTTCAAATTTCATTTTTATTCATCATCTTATGGCATCTTCCATCGAAACCGAAGGGGCGTGGAGCACCATGGAAGATGTTCTATTGTGTAAGTATTGGGTCCAAATTAGTCATTGTCCGATCACGGGCAATGAGATGAAATTCTCTCATGTGTGGAGAAAAATTCATGCCGAATTTTGTGAAAGATCGGGTTAGGCTCGTATGGAAATGGCCTTGTCTAGTAGGTGAAAATTTTTGAATAAAGAGTTGGGGAAATGGAGAGATGTGTTGGCAAAAGCAAGAGACAACCATGGAAGCGGGGAAAATCTTAGCAATGAGGTAAATTATTTGTAATTTACGTTTTATTAATTCGAATGTCCTAAATTTTTTTTTAATGTTTCTTGCATTTCCAATATTTTGTTAATGTTTCTTACATTTCCAATATTTTTTTAAATGTTTCTTTTTTTTTTTTTTTTTTTTTTTTTTTTTTTAGATTATGGAAGCACAAATGTGATTCGGTGCCATTGAGCAAGGCAAAAATCTTTCAACCATGACCAATGTTGGGAGGTAGTGAAGAATTGTTCGAGATTCAAAATTATTCCAACGGGTCCGACCGTTGTGTTGAACGAGACGTCACTCCATGATTCAACGGCATCGGATTCGCCTTTGAATTCCCCGATGAGTCAAGACTCACCAATCCAAAAGGAGCCGAGGCCTATTGGGAGAAAGGTGGCGAAGGCCAAGAGAGGGAGTACATCCAACAATGATACTACAAAATTGCAAGGAACGGCACCATGAGAATTGAATTAAACATTAAAAAGATGTGGATGAGAAGACAATGAATGAAGAATATGCAAGAGAATTTTTACTGTTATTTTGGTGGAAATTTTGAAGTTTGAAATTTGAAATTTATCTGAAATTTGATATTTATAATAAATATTGAAACGTGGCAACCGAAAATCTTATCTGAAAAATTCATTCGAATTATGAGATATGAATTTTATAATAAATATTGACATGTAGGAACCCAAAATCTTATCCAAAAATATTTCTCCAAATTAAGTTTTTAGGTCAAAAAAAAAATTAGTGAATAGTATTTGCCCTTTGCCATGGCAATGGGTGGAAACACACCTCGCTTTTTGTAAGGGAAGATACTATTCACGTAAATAGTATCTGCCCTTACCTTCTCTTACCCTTTGCTATGACAAATGGGTGGAAGTGCTTTAATGGTATAGAGAATTGGGTAGATAGACCAATTACACCTGCCAATATGCCTTTTAACTTATTGGACCAATTCCTGAGAGTTAGATTTAACAATGACTCTAGTAGCATCCAAGTATGCAATCAACTCAATCCCTTTGAGTGCCGCGTGTGAAATTGGTACTTAGGTGACGAGGGGTAAACTTAATCACACAAACAAGACACAACAACACAGCAATCTTCACACACTTTAAACCTTGACCAAATACACATATGACTAGTCAACTACTAGTCAAGAAACAATCACAACCAATAGAATACACAAAGCATGCCACAATGTACCTGCAATCCTAGAAGATTACTAGTGACAACCTAGGCACTCAGAAGGACCCGTCAATCTAGGCATCCCCTGTGCTAGCAACAATTATGGTGAAAGTGTGTGAAATCATCATTATCATGTAAACATCAAACAACAGATACAGATGACTAGTCAACCACCAAGAACACAAACCCAGAAAAATTACAGTTATGCAAAACAGATTTTGTTCACCCAGAAACCCACCATTGGGAAAAACTGGGAGTCATCAACCGACCAGGCATTCCACTAAGTAGAAAAAGATTCTTACAAAGGAAACACAACCAAGCTCAAGAAGCACCTAGGTCTATTTAGGAATATGAGCAATACCTCCTTTGTGCAATCTTCTTCTCCAACTTAGCAAAGCTTGAAGCTCAGTCCTTCATGGCAATGGCAGCTCCTTCTCCAGCTCGTTCATCCCATGGCACTAGCTTGCAAGCTCCAACACAAACCGAAACCAATTTGGATTCAAATGAGAAAGATCAATTTCTTCAAGAAACCATACTCTTGAAGAAATCAATCTAGAATCTGACCTAGATATAAATGATAGAATGATTTAAGTAGCTAGATGCAGATTTGTGTTTCAAATGCAGTTTTTCAAAAGGAATCAATTGGAAAAACTCATAGATGAAATAAGATGGTTCTCTCGAGGAAGAAGAAGCGAAAGATGGCAAGCCAAACTTTCCAAAACTTCCACTCAAAAGAGACAACGGCCAAATGAGAAATATCGTGGGCTATACAGACCAACGAATTCCTTAGGTCAGAAAACCCACTTGGCAGCAGAGAGAGAGAAAGAAGAATAGGACAAAACAGTTTGTTATCCAGCTGGAAGCAAGGATGACTAGTCATATGAGAAACGGATGACTAGTCATCATTTTATGAAGACTGTTTTATGTAATGATATGCAATGCTCAATACCTTTGTTAACTTGCTTGAGCCACCATAGAGCAGAGATTAGGGAAGAGCACCAATAAAAGTTTTCCCTAATCTAGACTTGAGCTTGATAAATTACATTACACATCCTATTACAAAGTTGTCAAGGGAAGCCAAAAGAAAATAGTAAAAACCATACATTAACAGCGTGGGCCTCAGCTTCGGATGCCAAGAAATGAAGGTGGGGTTTTGGGTCGGGGAGAGAGAGAGAGAGAGAGAGGAAGAGGAGGAGGAGGAGGATGGTGCAGTGGGTTGGTGAGAGAGAGAGGCGATGTGCGAGAGTTGTAATTAAAGTTTTTTTTTTTTAATTTGGATCATAGAAACAATCGAACGGTGAAAAACAAAACTTCGTAACTAATTCGCATATTCGTACTCCGTAATGGAGAATCCCCTTATATATATATAGTTACAGTCAAGCACTAACTAGTTAATAAATTAATATTACACCACATTTTGACATACTCTATAATCCATCTCGTGATCTTAATTGTTTACTTTTTCAGATCTTCATTAATTGAAAGATCATCCTTGTAAAAGTTCACTCAAACAGAAAAACGTCTAATATCTAACAAGGAAATGTTCAAAATAACAATTAAGAGCCACCAATTAAAATAAGAGCCTAAAAATTGAAAGGTCCTGATTTCACACATTGTGAAGTAGACAAAATCCATGTGGCACTGTATTAACTTGCTAACTTTCCGTGCTCGACAGTTGTATATCATTATATATGATATCACTACTATAATTTTGGTCTTTGGGCACTAATATTATTTGGTAATAATTTCCCCACTCCAATTTTATCCACTTGCATTCCTTTTTTAGTTATAAAATGGAGTGTAAGTAGATAAAATTGGAGTGGGAAAATCACCACTCAGTATTATTTGTGTTCTTTAGTGTAAGAGGCACAATTATTCGTGCACTTTGTTAATAGCCACGGTGCTATCATGACAAATTGGTCAGTTTCCCGTATAGAAGTTTCTATTGTTCATTAAGCACTTCATCAAAAAGATAAGGGAAATGCTAGCAACCTCTCTCTCTAACCTTCTCCTTTGGACCTTCTCCCTTTTCCTCATGACATGTGTCAATCTCATTACACTTAAAACAATGTCATTAATGCATTATACAAGCTAACTTTTGCTTTCCAAGTTTACCCTATTTTTTTTTTTTTTTTTTTTCTTTTTTTTTTTTTTTTTTTTTTTTTTTTCTTTACCATCTTAATAAAAAGTTTTTTTTTTAACGTAAGTTTTTTTTTGAAAGAAAATGTATGCTTTCCTCTTCTTCTTTTTTTAACACAAAAGAAATGTCAATTTTCTATTTTATATATAAAAAAAAGACGTCATTCACATCTGTAAGCACCCCAATGGTACAGAGTTTACAGACTAACTACTTTTCTTTTCTTTTTTTTAATAAAGGAAATTGCTTGATTGCATTTTTTTATACTACTAAATAAACCAAAATATCCCCTAATAACATGGGCTTGAGATAAAATATATAGAAGCAAAAGAATAAAAAATCATCAAAATCGAATTCAGTATGAAAAAAATAAATAAATTACAGTTTAAATTAACAAAAGAAAAACAAAAGAGTGGTCTCCATCCATATAATATGTTGCTCTACTCTATTTTTATTATTTTTTAATAGTCGTGAAGATAAACATTTATAACAACCCAAGGCAAAAGGCTTAGAGGAGAGCCAAAACCTGTACAAACAAGAAGCAAAGACCAAAAAAATAAATGACATTAAAATTTAAAAATAAAATAAAATAATTAAGATGGTAAGAAAGTTGTGCAAAAAAAATTTAGATCAATTGAATAGGGTAAACTTGGAAAGCAAAAGTTAGCTTGTATAATGCATTAATGCCATTCTTTTAAGTGTAATGAGAATTACACATGTCATGAGGAAAATAAAGAATGTCCAAAGAAGAAAATTAGAGAGAAGGTTACTAATATTTCCTAAAAAATAATTGTTCATTAAGCACAAATTTACTTTATCGTGTACTTTGCTCAATACTTTTGAGCACGGAAGTTGCTGTTCTGGCACAACGACTGCTGCATCCAATTTCACTTTTATACATGTGCACTAATTATTCATTCGTACTAAAAGTATTTATTTATGAAAAAAAATTGATTGCAAAAACATCTAAGCCACCTACTCTCTCTCTCTCTCTACCACGGCCGCCTACTTTCACCCCCTATGTTTCTCAAATACCACCTACTATACCTATCCACAATCATTACCAAAAATACCGAAAACAGAGAGTGTACCAAAAAAAAAACCAATTTAAACGGTTGTGTAATTTATGCGTCCTCCATCAAACCTGCACATACACCCAAAAAAATATAATCAAATTAAAATTGTAGAGACAATATTTCAATACAACTAAAGAGGAAAAAAACAAACAAAAACTAAAAATCACACCTTCAACCTTAGCTCACGCTTTGAGCTTTCAATTTCAAGAGTAGACAAACAAACAAAACTCCAGACCTAAGTAGAAGATAATCACCTTCAAAACACAAAAAATCCAGATCTAAGTGAGCCAACAATGGTATGGATAATAGTAGTAGATGGACGAGAAGAATGAAAAAAATAATGGAAAGAAAAGAAGTAGAGTTGAAATGGTATAAATATCCTAGATCTAAGTTGAAATGATATAAATAAAAAGGAAACAACTTCTTACAACCAAAACAGAAACAAATTCTTACCAGCCATATATGATATGGAAGCAAAGAACGAATAAATAAAAGAAAGAAAAGAAGTTGGGGAGAGGAACAGGAAGAGGGGGTTGGTTATGAAGGGAACGACAAGTGAAAGGAGAGAGAGAGACGTGCAAAAAATTAAGAGATTTTCTATTTAAACCCCGCACTTCTCTTTGTTCACCCCAATACTTAAATTATTAAGCTGTAAGTTTTATTATTGTGTAAAAAGACAAAAAGGTCATCCAACTTAATACTTAACCCTTTCTAGTACATCTACACACACACCCCACATACCCCACCACTCTTCATATTAAGTTTTAGAATGACCTATGCAAGAAGCACAATTTGCCCTACAAGTGTTTGTCCTTCTGGGATGCCAATGTAACCACTATTAGGCTTCTAAGGTTTGCTGCCTGGAAGGCTTGGGACATGGATCTTCCAATCCAGAAGAACTTGGCCCAGGAAGCTGTTAATACCCATGGCTGAGATTTGTTGACACTCATCAAGATATTGCCCCCACATTACCTTTATCTGTTTATAAGTTGGGGCATCTAGGATGGAGATAAATTTTTCAGCAGGTTTTTCAATTGCTATTTGATTTTTTTTTGGCACCC